TGTGTACAAATGCGGCCTGTACCTGTGCCAGCCAGGTGTGAAACCAGAGAAACAGAACCAGGAGATGCGTGTACACACACAGCCGTGCACACACACACAGATGATTTAGATATTGAGATATGGAGAGCTGTATTGCAAGACATGGCTCACACTGCTGTGGGGCTGGCCGGGCAGGGCTGCGGGCCGCGGGCTGCAGGGCAGAAGCTGGGACTCGGACGCTGCTGTCTGGAGCAGAACTCCCACTTCCTCGGGAAATCGCCGTCTTGCTCTTAAAGACTCTCAGCTGTGGGTGCAGCCCACCCAGATCATCCAGGACGATCTTCTTCATTTGAAGCCCGCTGGCTGTAGTGGCTCATGTAACCACACCTGCCATACTTTCTTGGCGACACCCAGATCAATGTGTGCATGAGTCCCTGGGAGGACCGCCCACCACGGGACACAAAAGTGACCACACTACAAATTCACCTTGAGTGACAAGCACTTATTTTATCATTTTTGCATTATTCTTGGTGCTTTTTTATCCTGCACAGTTTTTACTTTTCCAAGGCTAAAAAGAAGAAGGAAAGTGCGGGCTCTCAGGACAGACCCAGGGGCGGCAGTGCCACCGTGGAAGGGCTCTCCCTGCCCCATGGCCGCCTCCGGGGCCCCGATGGGAGCTGGGCCCGGATCCTGAGTGGACCGCCTGCTCTGCTTCCCCCCACAGCCCCTGGACTATGAGAGTTGTGAGCAGTATGACCTCAAAGTGGCGGTACAGAACGAGGCCCCCCTGCAGGCGACCGCCCCCAGAGCTGAGCGGGGCCAGGCCAGGGTCCACGTGCAGGTGCGGGATGTCAACGAGGCGCCTGTGTTCCAGGAGAACCCTCTGCGGACCAGCCTGGCTGAGGGGGCGGCCGCAGGAACCCCCGTGGCCACCTTTGCTGCCCAAGACCCGGACACCCAGCAGCTGCAGAGACTCAGGTGGGCCCTGCGGACCCTGGGATGGGGCCCCTTCCACCATCGCCCAGCAGGGCCAGGGCACAGCTGAGGGTGCCCCAGCCCTTGCACCCTGAGGCTCAGGTCAGAGGGTGGAGGTCTCATCTGTCTGTGTGCGTCATGGGGGGCCCAAGGAGTCTCGAGCCCCATGCACGCATGCGTGTGTGCTGATGCAACTTTGTCCCTTAGGGCAGGGTGGGGCTCCAGCTGACACACAATGACATGGCCACAGGCTGTTCCAGCTGTCCTGAGTGTCTGAGTCATCGGTTCAGGGGAGCTGTTGCTCCTGTGGGTCTGGCCATCAGGATCTTGGGTTTCACCCCCAGCGCTGGCCGCGTCTCCACTGTGTGCATGGCTTGGATCCTGGCTGTGTCACTCAGTGGCCCAGGGCCCTGGGCAACTCCCCGGCCCTCCCTAAGCCTCAGGTTCTTGATCTGTCAATGGGACAGAAAACACACCAGCCCAGGGCAAGTGTGTGTGGGTGTGTGTGGTGTAGTACGGGTGTGCGTCTGCGTGGAGGGGATGTGTGTGGGGGTGCATTGTGTGTGGTGTATGTACATGTATGTGGGGGATGTGTGTATGTATGTGCTTGTGTGTGCATGTCTATGTGTGTGTGTCTATGTGTGACCACACGTCTGGGGTCCTGCTTAGGCTCAGGGTCACCCTGTCCCCTCTTCCTCTCCTGGGCCGACAGCTACTCCAAGGACTACGACCCTGAGGACTGGCTGCAGGTGGACGGAGCCACGGGCCAGGTCCAGACCCAGCGTGTGCTCAGCCCAGCGTCGCCCTTCCTCAAGGATGGCTGGTACAGGGCCATCATCCTGGTCCACGACAATGGTGAGCACTGAGCCGTGGCTGGGCTCCAGGGCTCCCGATGCAGGCTGGGCCTCCCTGCGGCTGCCTGCGGGCTGGGAGTGCAGCCTCCACTGAGCAGACTTGGGTGGGTGGGCTCCAGAGGAGTAGGAACCCACCAGGCCTCTCTTGCCTGCAGCCTCCCCGCCCTGCACAGCCACTGGGACCCTGTCTATTGAGATCCTGGAGGTCAACGACCACGCCCCTGAGCTGTCCTCACCGTCTGGCAGCCTGTGCAGTGAGCCAGACCAGGGCGCCGGCCTTGTCTTGGGTGCTGTGGATGAAGACCTGCCCCCACATGGGGCCCCCTTCCACTTCCAGCTGAGTCCCAGGGTTCCAGAGCTGGCCCGGAACTGGAGTGTCAGCCAGGTTAACGGTGAGCTCCCCCAGGGCCCCCCAGGAGGCCAGAGCCTGGGACTTGGGGATGCAGTCAACACTGTGGTCCCATTGCTACCCACCGCAGTGCATCCTCAGGTGGGGCAGGGATTCATTATCATGCCCAGGGCATGGATGGGGAAACTGAGGCCCAGCATCTCGGGAACCCCACCCATCAGGCTGCTCCACCCGCAGCACAGGGCATGGAGGGGACATGGGAGGTGGGATGGGCTGTGGGGCCCCTGCTGACCGTGGGCGCCCTCCGCAGTGAGCCACGTGCGCCTGCGGCTGAGACACCAGGTCCAGGAGGGGCTGCACCGCCTCAGCCTGCTGCTCCGGGACTCAGGGCAGCCGCCCCAGCAGCGTGAGCAGCTCCTGAACGTGACCGTGTGCCGCTGCGGCCAAGACGGCACCTGCCTGCCCGGGGCCAGTGCGCTGCGGTCAGGGGGTGCCGGCCTCAGCCTGGGTGCCCTGGTCATTCTGCTGGCCAGCGTCATCCTGCTGCTGTGTGAGTGCCCCTGCCCCAGGACCCCTGCCCTCCAACACCACAGTCCCCACCCCCTCCGTACACCGACCTTGCTCTGTCTGCCCGCCCAGTGCTTGCGCTGCCCGTGGCCCTCGTCGCACGGTCCCGGCAGCGGTCGTGGGACAAGGGGCTTCTGCCGGGGCTGCAAGACGACCTCCGGGACAACATCCTCAACTATGATGAGCAGGGGGGCGGGGAGGAGGACCAGGTGAGGGCGGAGGGCAAGGGGAGGGGTGGACCCCATGAAGGGAGGGAGGAGGAGGGGGGCCTGGGGAGGGGGCGCAGGAATGTGGAAGTGCAGAGCAGTGGGAGGGTCCCCAGGAGCCAGGCCACAGGCCTCCTCCCACACCCTAGGCCCCACGCGAGCAGAGGGCCCCATCAGGCCATCCCAGAAGGTGCCTGGTATGGAAACCCCATGGCGATCACCCACGGCTGAATTCTACACACTCCATCCACAGGACGCCTACGACATCAGCCAGCTGCGCCACCCGACAGGGGCCTTGGGCACCCCTCTGGGACGCCCACTGCTGCGCCGCGATGCCCCCTTTGGTCAAGCACGGCCCCCGCCGCCCCGTTTGCTGCCCACCAGCCCTGCCGACATTGCCGACTTCATCAATGATGTAGGTGCCTGGGGATCAGGGCCACACACCCGTGCATGCATGCACACCCACATACATATGCACACACTTGTACCTGTGTGTACCCCATGTAGCCCGTGTACCCCTGCACGTGCGCCCATCCCTGTAGGTGAGCTGTCGGCGGGGAGTGGCCTTACCGCTGGGGACCCTGGCGGAGCTTCTGGGAAGCTCCTGAGGACCCAGTTCCTGAGTGGGGCAGGCGCGGGCCACAGGCAGGAATCTGAGGAAAGAGGAGGCTGGCAACCCCCCGCCTGGGGTCACGCAGGGCCTGGCTGAGCTGGAGTTGCTTGGAGTCTGCTCGGAGCACTTTCCATGGGGTGCTGGCCGAGGAGAGACTTAGTGTCCCCTGTGGGTGGGGGTGCAGCCATCAGCCGAACCTGGGCGTCCACACTAGTCCCTCTGGACGCGTCAGTGATTCCTGCAGCCAACACGGCAGATGCCTGGAATGCGGGAAATCCAATTGGGTGATGTCAAGGAGCACATGTGACCTCTCACTAGCGAGCCCAGTGGCATGCACACATAGCCCTCTGGCTCAGAAAAAGCCCCCCAGGTGCCCAGCGAGGAGCAGGCCCCGTGCAGGTCCTGGTTAGGAGGGTGTGCAGTACTGTGGGGGCGAGGTGTGCACAGACAGGTGGCAGGACAGGTGGTGGCCACAGAACTATTTGTGAAAGCTTGGAAAACAGGACCCGCCCTGGGGCAGGACAAAGCCGGGGGGAGGGGCCGAGGGGCTCTAACCCCAAGGAAGGAGGGCTGCCCCGGGGAACTCTCTCTCCTCCAAGCCATCCTCGTGAGGTCACCCCTCAGCTCCTGTCCGTTCGGGGCCTCCCCTTCCGCCACTCGGAGGCTGACCTCGCCCTGTGCTGCAGTGCCCCCCGCAAGGGCACGGTCCTGAGCTCCTGGGCCTCCCCACAGGGTTTGGAGGCTGCAGACAGTGACCCCAGCGTCCCACCCTACGACACGGCTCTCATCTATGACTACGAGGGGGGCGGCTCCGTGGCTGGGACATTGAGCTCCATCCTGTCCAGCCTGGGCGACGAGGACCAAGACTACACCTGCCTCCGGGACTGGGGCCCCCGCTTCGCACGGCTGGCGGACTTGTACGGCCCCCCCTGAGGGCTGGAGCGAGGGCAGGACACAGTGGCCACCTGGGCCAGGGGAGGGGGCTTCCTGCTGGGGACCTGCACCCACATTGCTGAGGGCACAAACACCTGGACACAGGGGACGATGTCCTCCCAGTACGTGCAGTCTGACCACAGGGGCCCCACTGGACACACCAACACCTGGTCGTGTGGCCGGGAGACCCGGCTGACCTCTGTGGAGGCGGCCGAAGGGCAGCATGCCTCTCCCAGGGGAGGACAGAGTCCCGGGGACAGAGCCTGGAGTGGAGTGGCCAGAAGGAAGTGTCCCGAGGGCCGACAGGCCTGCTGTCAGTCGCTTCCACGGGGGTCAGATGCCCCACGCCCAGCTCATCTCCCACCCACGAGGACCTCATGTGTGTGAAAGGGAGCAGTGTGGGCAGACATGAATTAAAACGTGCTGACTCTCCAGCCTGGGGCCTCTGCGGGGGCGGGGGGGGTGCAAACACAGCTGGGGGGGGCACCAGAAGGAACCCCTCCAGCCCCGGGTTTATGAACAAAGATGGGGCTTTCTTGCCCAATGGGATAAGAAGCCAGTTATCACAGCATCAGCTGTGAGAAGAGAAAACCGCTTTATCACGAGGTCGACCTGCAAGGAGGCAGGCGGCGAGAGCTCTCAGCTCAGGCTCCTTGAGCAGGGCCTGGGGCAGCTCTCGTGGGGCAGAGGGCAGGTGGTCGGAAGTGTGGGATGGATGCCTGGAGGTGAGGAGGAGTGAGGGCACTGATGACCCGCGCCAGCACAGTCAGGCTTCACGGCTCTGCACAGGACACGTGTTCACGGAAGGGTGGCCTTAGCAAGATCTGGGGTGGGGCTTTCGTTCCCCTTGACATCAAAAGGGTCACCTACCGGGCATTTGCACAGACCCAGTTGAGGAGTTGATCTCAACTGGCTTGAGCTGGACAAGGGGTTGACTCTCAGTTCCTGGAAAACTGCTCTCAGGTACCCTGTTGAGAAGATGGGGTCAGTGGGCCTGGTCCTAGTGGACCCGTGGTCACACCGGGGTGCAGCCTGAGGGAGGACCCAGCAAGGACACCAAGTTCCATGGACGCCTCTGTCCTCCACACGTTGGGGGGCACCCAGGGGCAAGGGGCGCAGTGGGGACACCCCTTTCATGCTGTCCCTGCAGCTCTTCCCAAGACGCCTCCGCCCACACTGACGTGGCCATCTGAGGGGGTGTCTGCCCAGTGTGGTCACTGCGCCTGGACCAGCCGTGCCCTGGGCCTTGATTGCCATCCGTGTCCTGGCTCATGGGGGCTGCTGGTTGGGAGCAGTGGTTTTGGGAGGTGTGGCGGGTGGATGTGGGGGGCAGCAGCAGGGGCAGGCGACAGGACACAGGGCGGGCAAAGACCACGTGCGCAGGAAGAAGCTGAGACAGACGGCCCCCCGCAGATGGACACATGGACACACGCATGTGACCCAGGGAGGGGCCAGTGCTTAGCAGAACCAAAGGTATGGGGGGGCCAGGAAAACAAAACTCATAATTTTTGTGGAAAAGCTTTTCTTCTCTGCCCTGGAACAAGTTTCGTTATTTTCATTAGAAAATCGGATGACGATTTTTTCCTTGGAATTCTGCCCTCTCTGGGGGCTGGCTCATCACTCCCCCACCCCCGCCAGGCCTCTATCTCCTCGCCTCCCCTTGCCCCCTCGCCTCTTGAGCTGTTGTCCAGACCCTCCTAGGGCCGTGTCCACCACGCCACCCAGGAAGATGATCTGAACTCAGGTCAAGATGGAACGGAGCCAGGAAGGTGCACGGGGGTCGCGCCTCCCTTCTGCCTGCCCCCAAGTGGGCTGGGGCTTCAGGCACTGGGCTGGCAGGACCTCACGTCCTGCCGTGTGGCTGGGCAGCCTGGAGCCCCCCTGGTCATTGTCGGGGAGACCTTAGCTGCAAAGAAGCTGCTGAGGGTGGACGTGGCCTGGGAGACCCAGAACCCCAGGACAGAGAGGGACAACACAGTCCAGCCCAGGTCTAGGGACACAGAAAGGACTCCCAGGCTGCCCACGCCAGGCCACTCCAGGGCCTGCCCTCCAGTCGTCCACGTCTCAGGGTCCCGCGTGGGCCTGGCCTCCTCGACCTGTCTGCCTGCGTCTGCACGCTCTGCTTGGGGGTCAGGTGCTCCAGCTTGCCCCCATCCAAACCAGACCCTTACATTCAGCCCCTTTGCAGAGGATCCTTTTGACCCCTTAACTCTTTGGGCCTCAGTTTCCCTGGGTGCACAGTGGGGAGATGGACAGAGTAAAGAGAACAGCAGTCTCCTGTGCTCTGTGCCTCTCTCATGCGGCCCCAGGAGGGGGCTGATCCCAGGACCCCTGCCATGGGGTAGACCCTGGGCCAAACATGACGACCCCATCAGCCTGCAGGGCCCACGCTCATGCTGGGCCTGGCGAGGAGCAGCAGGGGCACCAGGCCCATGACCAAGGTGCCAGCAGCAGAACTGGGTGGCGCCCCCAGTGATCAGACCTCAGGAGCAGGAAGACGGTGGCCGCTGCCTCCAGGCCGGCCACCAGGAATTAGGGCTGGTAGTAGGTGGGCTCACGCAGGGACAGACTGCCAAGGAAGCTGGCCCTGAGGTCCCTGCTCATCAGCCTGGGAGGCCGGGCGAAGCTCTGGGCCCAGCCTGAGCCAGGGACAACAGTGACCAAACCCCCACCCCAGGGTGGAGGGTGCAGACGCCCCTAGCCTGCCTGCTCCCTCCCCTCCTCATGAACTGAAGCCCAGGATGAGTCCGTGTCTCTGGGCGACGCCTCTCTTCCCTCCTCTGACACCCAGGCCTCCCTTCCCCCTCGCTGGTGATCACCCGTGTCCAGGGAGCTCTCCTCTGAGCTGTCCTCAGGGTCCACGTCCCGCTGCCACAAAGTGCCACAGGACCTTCCTGGTTTGGCCAGCAGCCAGCAGGGAGACCAGGGAACAGAGCTGGGAACCTGCGGGGCAGGGGGGAGGTAAGGATGCCCACGGGTCCTCCCTGCAGGGATGGCAGGGGTTAGCGCCCCCTTCCTGGACCCAGGGGGGCAAGACATTCAGTGGCTTTGTGTCCCTGTCCTACCCCCAGGTGCCTGGTGCTGCATGGAGGTGCAGAGGGAGGTGACACACGTGGCCAACAGAGCAGCCACTGACCAGTCTCCCCCACACTCACCCCATAGAGCAGCAGAAATCCCCCGCAGAAGGCGGCAGCCGTGTGAGCCCACCGCCGAGGAGAGGTGGCCCCCAGGGAGAAGACCCGGTGGGAGGGGGACGGTGCACAGCTCCAGGCTTGAGCAGACGCAGATGGCCTGAGGCCAAGGCCTCTCTGGAGCCTGTTCTGTCCAGGGCTATGGGGACCAGTCGCTGACCCGCCCAGAGGCTGGACATCTGAGGCCAACTTGCTGCCCACGCCAGCTTAGGGGCCTGCCCACAAACAGCAGAGCTCACAAGCCGCGGTGTCTCTCCCGCCTTCTCAAGAAGGGCCCTTGGGCCACCTGACATCCCCTTCCAGTGGGATAGGCCTGGCCCGAGTGGGCGCCCCCAGAGGCCCCCCATGGTACCCGAGAGCCATGGAGAGGGTGAGGGAGGCCCCCATGAAGCAGCCACAGGGCCAGCGGGTGGGAAAGCTGGCAGCCAGGGCCTTGCTGGCCCCCAGGCCCGTGGCCAGCACCAGGGACGCCACATCTCGTGGGCAGCAGGGGCCACACGTGGATGCAGGTCAGGTCAGCTCAGGGGTCTAGCTGGACCCTGAGGGGCTCGAGGGGAGGGCTGCCAGGGCAGAAGGGAAGGGGCAGCGCCATACTGGCCACGGCCGCACCAGGAGGACACAGCCCGCAGCCAGCACAGGAGGCAGCTGGTCTGCTCCAGAGGCACCTTCCAGCTGTCCTCACACAGGTTTCACCTGGGGGACACCAGTCACCTGCTGGCCAGCAAGGACTCGCCCCCTCCTCCTCACTGGAGTTCCCAGAATGTCAGGCTGGAAGGGGGCTCTAGGTGTCCTGCTCCAATTTCCCCCTGGAGAGAAGGGGAAACTGAGGCACAGAGAGGGCAAGGGACTTGCTCAAGGTCACACAGTGTGCTCTCCTCACTCTGGTGGTCTTTGCACGGAATTGGAACAATTCCTGGTCTGAGCCCCCAAGGGGTTATTATGGGGTCCCCAGGATATGCACACAGAGCCCCAAGTCTGGATGGGGTCTCACCTGCCTCTCTCCAGCCATCACTCCCCACCCCCCCACGCTGGCCCCTGGCCGTCCCTGGTTTCCACCTGCTGTGCCCAGGGCCCCAGGGCCTCACTCCCCCTCCCTTCCCTGCTCATTTCACGCGCTACTCTGAAGGGGCTGCAGGCTGTGCTCACCCGCTGTTCCCAGCAGAGGGCCCTGGACCGCCCCACCTCCTCTTCCAGGAGGGGCCTTCTCTCCACGCTGAACATACCCTTTGGGGTCACCAGTCATCAGAGTTTTTATTTCAAAATCCGACCGTTTGGGGAAGCTGGTGGGGTGCTGATGGATCAATACACCAAACAGGAGGGCAAGTGTGCGGTGGAACAGACATGACGGGAGCACAGAGGCCCAGTGGTTTCAGGGCCCCACCCAGGCCTGGCAGGGATGTGGCAACCCTGTTCCAGTTTCCACACCAGGGTCTACCCTCCGGGGGTGGGGTGGGGCTGCGGGCAGGGGCTGCCCAGAGGGAGGCGGGGTGCGCAGGCCTGCGGGAGGGTGGGACGGGAGGTGCCAGCTGCCCCTCCCCAACTCATTCCCTCCACCGAAAGCCCCGTGTCCTGGGGACCCAGCGTCCACGCCTACGCAGCCCGAAGCCACGGGCTGGTCAAAGTGTCCGTGGCACTGAAGTGGACTCCACACTGTGCTGACCACCTGGTGCCTACCTGCTCATACCTTCAGCGTAACTCCCCTCCCCGCCGCTGCCCCCACCTGGGCAGCCCTCGGGCCTCAGACTCAGCCATTAGGCCTGGCCTGCCGCATACTTGTGCATCTGCTGCGCCGTCCGACAAGAGGGGGCTGACTCCCCAAATGAGACCCCCAGTACTGACCGCCCCAGTAGACCAAGGGCAGAAGAATGAGGGGGGACAGAGGAGGGGTGATGGAAGCAGAACGGACGGAGAAAGGGGGGAGCCAGGAAGGTGGAGAACGGAGAAGAGGGAGGACGGGGGTGGGGGGGGGAGAGGACAGAGGAGGAAGGAAGATGGAGGAGGGGAGGACGGGGGGGGAGGACAGAGGAGGAAGGAAGATGGAGGAGGGGAGGACAGGGGGGAGGACAGAGGAGGAAGGAAGATGGAGGAGGGGAGAACGGGGGTGGGGGGAGGACAGAGGAGGAAGGAAGATGGAGGAGGGGGAGGACGAAGGAGAGGGGACGGAGAAAGCGGGGACGGAGGAGGAGCAGGGCAGAGGACCCGCGCAGAGGAGGGGAACAGAGGCGCAGAGTTTAGAAGATTCCAGGCCGTCCTTGGGCCGGCTGGGCGCGCGCACAGGAGTGACGGGGCAGCACGTCGTGCCAGCCGTGGTGCAGGGCCACGTGCCCACGTGTTGTGGTCAGGGGTTCGGGGCGCGCAGCGCGGGGGGCAGCAGCGCCGGGTCCAGCCGGCAGTGGTGCGCGGGCAACTCGGTGAGCAGCGGCTCCGAGCCCCGCGCCACCCCCAGCGCCACCCCCAGCGCCATCCCCAGCAGCCGCGAGGCGGCGGCCAGCAAGCGCCGGGTCGCGCGGAGCCGAACGAAGCCGCCGCCGCGCGCAGGACCAGCACCTGCGCCTCCCTCGGCGGCCTGGCGCTCAGGCCGGCCCGGCGGGGCGAGGGGCGGGGCCGTGTAGGGCGGGGCCGGTGCCAGGGTCCTGGGCCTTGGGGTGGGACTGGGAGGGGCGTGGCGCGGGGGCGTGGTCGAGGAGGTCATCCTGGTGTGGGGGCGTGGTCAGAGGGGCGTCCTGGTTGGGGGCCTGGTGGTGGGCGGGCGCCTTGGGGCGGGGACGAGGTCGGGGGTGCTGACCTGCGCGGCTGGTCAGGGGCGTCTGGACAGCGGGTCGCAGAGGAGCCCTTCCCAGCGGCCTCTGGGCCTCCGACTCCCTGAGGCAGTCGGAGAGGCCGGAGCGGGCGGGGGTCGTGGGCCGGACGGGCACTGGACCCCGCGCTGGCTGTGGGCTGGGCCTGCCGAGTGCGGGCCGCCACTGCCCCCCGGCGGCCGGACGCGGCGCTGCAGCCCGGGAGGGAGGGGCTTGGCTGTCGGGCTCGGACGGTCCTGTGTCCACTGGCGAGGCAGCCGGGCCGAGCGTGATGTCCGGCAGGCAGCGGCCGCTGGCGTCTGGTTCTCAGGGGTCTGAGAGTTGTCGTGGATTGTTCTCGAGTCGAGTTCCAGGGTTGCTGACTGGGCTTGGGCCAGCAGGGGACTGGCCGGAGTGGCACGTGTCCGTGGTTAGGAAGGACCCCTCGCCCCAACTGGCCGGCTCTCCGGCCCGGGAACAAGGTGGGTCACTTTGTTTCCAGCTTATTCTTTGTGGAGACGGAAAGTCCAGCAGGTCCTGGAGATGACCCCTGGTTTTTCCTGAGTCAGCTCTGAGGCTCTAGCCCTGGGGGTCACTGGTCAGGATTCAGGCCCGGGTCCGTGTCCCGGCCAGGGCACCACACCCGCGTTTCTCGTTGTCACGCTGTGGCAGCTGCGTGTGGCTGTGATTCTGAAAACTCTGCCTTCGGTATTTCAAATACCAGCAGGTCACCCGTGGTGGACAGGTGTCAGGGGAGCTTCCAGACCGGACACACTGGGAAGGAGGACCTGGTCACCCACTTCTGAAAAAACTGGCCCTGAAAACCCCGTGAATAGCGGGGAGCGTGTCGATGGAGGCGAGGAGGTGAGAGGATGGCGCGAAAGGCCGGCGGCCCGCGGGGCACAGGGCGCTGGGAGTCGGAGCCCGCGGCACAATTTTTTTAACTGATTTGCTTTCTTTTCTCTTTGTGAAGGAACTCTGGATTTGCATTATATTTTCTTTCGTAACTGGCGATTTTTTTGCATTTAAGAACGTTATTGGCTGTAAAAAATTTTTTGAGGTGAAATTCACATAACATAAAACTAACCATTTTATGACCCTCTGATCATATTCCAAAATATTTTCATCACGTGGCCCACGTTAAGTGATCAGCCTCTCTGGCATCTCCCCCAGCCCCCTAGCAATCACCAGCCACACAGTATGTGGCCTTTTGGGGCTGCTGCTTTAGCAGAGAACGATCTTTTCCAGGGTCACCTGCACTGCAGCTCTGGTCCGGACTTCATCCTTTTTGATGCTGCATGGCACTCCATTGTACGGCGATGTCCCCGTTGTGTTATCTGTTCGTCTGTGGGTGGACATTTGGGCCTTTCCACTCCTCGCCTGTAGTGACTGCTGCTGCTGGGAGCATTCATGTGCAAGGATTTGCCTGAGCCCCCATTTTCAGTCCTCTGGGGTTTTACCTAGGAGTGGAATTGCCAGCTCATGTGGTGCGTCTCAGTGTGACTTTTGGAGGATCTGCCAGTTTTCCACATCGGTGCGAGCAATGTAAGGGTTCTGATTTCTCCAGCTCTTTGCCAACACTTATCTCTTCTCTTTAAAAAAAAAACAAAAACAGAACTATACCCACCCCATGGATGTGCAGTATCTCCTTGTGGTTTTGATTTGCGTTTCCCTAATGGCTGGTTTTGTTGAATGTCTTTTCATGTGCTCGTTGGCCATGGGTATATCTTTGGAGAAATAATTGTTCAAATCTTTTGCTCATTTTTCACTTGGTTTTCATGCCCTTTGGTTGTTCAGTTGTAAGGGTTCTTTACGTATTCTGGATACTAGGCTTTTTCAGATAAATGACGTAAATATCTTCTCCCATCCTCTAGTTGTCTTTTCAGTTTCTTGATGGTGTTCTTTGATGCATGGAAGTTTCTAATGTTGATGAGGTTCAACCAATTTTTCCATTTACGTCCCTGCTTTTAGTGTGACATGTAAGAATCCATTATCAAAGCCAAGATCATGAGGATTTACACCTGGGTTTCCTTCTAGGGGTTTTATAGTTTCAGCTCTTAGATTTAGGCCTTTGATCCAATTGGAGTTAATTTTTGTGTATGGGGTGCAATAAGGGTTCGACTTCATTGTTTTGTGTGTGGCTATCCAGATTGCCCAGCTCCACCTGTTCAAAGACCTCTCTCGCCATTGAATCATGTTGGTGTCCTTGATGAAACCAATTGTGTGGCTACTATCTGGCCGCTCACGTCCATCCCACTGGTCTGTCTGTCTGTCCTATGCCAGTACCACACCGTCTTGATAACTGTAGCTTTGTGGCACATTTTGAAATTGGAAATGTGACTCCTCCAACTCTGTTCTTTTTCAAGATTGTTTTGGTTATCTGAGGCCACGAGCAGTTCCATATGAATCTTAGGATCCCTTTTTCTATTTCTGCAAAAAAACCCGTTGGGATTTTGGGAAGTTTTGCCATCTTATCAGTTGAAATCTTCCAGTCCTTGAAGGTAAGATGTCTTTCCACGTACGTAAGTCATCTGTAATTTCTTCAGGAAGGTTTTATGGTTTAGGGTATACAAGTCTTACATTTTCTAGATTGAATTTATTCCTAAGTATTTTACTCTTTTGATGCTATTGTGTGTGGAATTATTCTGTGAATTTCCTTTCCAGATTTTTCATTGCTAGTGGACAGAAGTACGATTGGCCTTGTCTTCTGTGCCGCTGCTGGAGCGCATTAGCTCGAATGTAGTGTGTGGGCCCTGTCGGGTCTTCTCCGTATAAGAGCATGTCACCTGTGAATAGACGTGGTTTTACTTTCTTCTGTCTAGTTTGGATGCCTTTTTTTTCTTTCTCTGCTTGATTGCTCCAGCTAGAGCTACTCGCATATTACCGGCTAGCAGTGGTGAAAGGTCATCCTTGGCTTGTTTCTGATCTCAGGCGAGCTTTCAGGCTTTGCCCCTGATTATGACACTAGCTTTAAGTTTTCCCAAAATGCCCTTTATCATGTTGAGGGATTTTCCTTCTATTTTTAGTTTTTTAAGTTTTTAGGTTTTATCATGAAATGATGTTGAATTTTGTCCAGTGCTTTTCCTGCATTCATTGAGATGATTATGTGGTTTTCCCCGTCCTTCTATTAATGTGGTGTATGACATCGATTGATTTCTGCATGTTGAACCATGCTTGTATTTGTGGGATAAACCCCACGTGATCATGTTGTATAATCATTTTAATATGCTGCTGGATTCAGCTTGCTGGTGTTTTCTTGAGGATATCTGTATTCAAAAGATAGCGGTCTGGAGCTTTTTCTTGCAGCGTCTTTGCCTGACTTTGGTGTGGGGTTACGCTGGCCTCATGGCATGAGCTCAGAGGTGCTCCCTCCTCTTCTGTTTTGTGGGAGAGTTTCGGATGGATTGGTGTTAATTCTTTAACTTTTAGTAGAATTCACTCATGAAGCCTGGGCTTTCCTTTCTCGGGATGCTTCTGATTCCTGACTCAATCTTTTGACATGTTACAGGTCTATTCAGATTGTCTCGTTTTTCTTGGGTCAGTTTTGGTAGTTCCTCTTTTGCTAGGTATTTGTCAACTTCATCTAGGTTTTCTAATATATTGATATGTAATTCTTCTTAGTGTTATAATCCTTTTTTATTTCTCTAAAATCCATAGTAAGGTCCCCTTGTTTATTTCTGATTTTAGTAATTTGAGTCTTCTCATGTTTTTTCATAGTCTACCTAAAGAACTGTCTATTTTATTGATCTTTTCAAGGAACCAGCTTGTTCTGTTGATTCTGTTGTGTTTCTATTCTTCATTTCATTCATCTCCACTAATATTTATTATTTCCTCACATCTGCTGGCTTCTGGCTCAGTTATCTCTTCCTCTTGCTCCTTAGAGCATGAAGTTAGGTTGCTGACTTCATTGTTATGTGGCAGGCACAGCTAGGCCTTTCCTTCAGAGCACTGCATTCTCTGCACCCTGTAAGTTTTTTCATTTTCTATCATTTCCAAGTATTTTCACAATTTCCCTTGTGATTTCTCCTTTGATGTGTTGTTATTTAAGCATGTGTTCTTTTAATTTCCACGTTTGGAATTTTCCACTTTGCTTTCTGTTCCTGATTTCTATTTCCATTACGTTGTGGTCAAAGAGGGTTCTTTGTATTATTTCAATCTTTTCAAATTTACTGGGA